TACATATTCACAGAATCCAGAGATTAGGATGTAGATACTTTGAGGAAAGGGGGAATCATTCTGTTTCCCACAATCTTCTGTAATTAAAGCAACTAGTTCACCTTGCAGATCATTCAACCAAGTGCTTCTCCTTGGGGTATCTGTCATACTTAAATAGGCAACAAATGCTTCATGTATATTCCTCATATCATCAAGTAGAATATTAACATGTGTGTTTTTAGTGAAAATCATTATTGCTTCATCAAGGATATTCTTACCTGCACTTTCTGGAGGTGATGGTGAGTGCACAGCAGTGAAATAGAATACATGAATGCTGGCATAGTTTGGTGTCACTGGTTTGATTCATTCGAGGTGCCAGCAGTTTGGGTCACCATCATTGCTAACATCAGAGGACCTCTTGATATTACTATAAAGACAGTTTTGACATCCTGGGTCTCCCCCCAAAGAGTCTCAGGGACCCTCAAGAGTTCATGGTCTAGGCTTTGAGAAATGTTGCACAATGAAATACCTGCAGGATGTCACACCTCATAACTTTCTAGATTAATATTAAAGGTTTTGTGAAAAAACAGGGTTGTCCTTGTGGTGTGTGTCACATCAATGTCCTTCCTGTGACTGTAACACTGGGGAAGATGGGGTGAAAAATGCAAGACTTCTTGAGAGGTGTCTGAGAGCCTCAATCTGTTTCTACTTGTAAAGATTCAAAGTATTCTTACTGCTAAGAGCTTTGACTTTTGCAGCCATCTTTCCAGGAACCTAGGACTATGTAAGTCAGATTGTGGTATGGGTGGGCTATCCCTTAACCAGAATGTTTGGGTCCAGTGTGTTTCTGATTTTAGTTTTTTAGGTTTTGGAATATGTACAGATACTTTACTGCTTAAGCATCCCTGATCTGAAAATTCAAAAGCTGAAATGTTTTGAGTGTTACAACAAGCCCCAAACATTTCAGATGTTGGAGCATTTCAGATTTTGAATTTTTTGGTTAGGGATGTTCAACCTATCTCTGTTGGTTTGATTCTGTGTTGAAGTGCTTATTTCATGAGAGAGAGCCAGTTTAGTACTGTTACTTCCCATCAGTGTTGGTAGATGTTTACTTAGCGGAGATTCAAAATCTTTATCTCAAAGCCTTTGTCCTGTTTGACTGATGGTCATTCTTTTTTTCACAAACAGAAACATTTGTTTAGTGTCCAATCACTTCTATCAGTGTTCCATATGAGCAGTTTATCTGCAAGCATGGAATTATAACCACTTAATTAAATGACCTAGAAATTATCCAAAGCAAAACTGGATAAACCCAGCCTGTTCCCAGGAAGGTTCTGGTGTCATCATTACTGTCTTGTAAGCATTACATTTAGGTATTGTGTATTCACATACATAAACTCACACGGACACATCTGTTTTTCTCAAAGAAAAAAAGACCATTTTATATAACCTCATATGCAAGCCTCAGTTCTCACTCCATTGTCATTTGCTCCTTTTCTTGGAATGTTTCTTGTTGTTTTCATGTAATTCCTCCTTCAGAATTTCTCATATTCTTGCAGGGAATATGCTTACTAACTAAGGATTCAAGAGCCTGAGTTCAGAGACTGCCACCTACATTCGATTTTATTGGAGTAGAAATCAAGGATACAGTCAGATTGTCACTTTAGGAGGATAGAGCAGGCGACATTTGGCACAGTTTCAAACTGGAGGAAATTTGACATTCTGGTGAATTTCTTAATCCCCTTAAAGGAACATTCCTTTCAAGCCAGCAAAACCAGTTTTTTCTTCTGTCTGTAGGAGCTCACCAGGGTACAAGAAATCAGTGAAAAGAAGGGCACATTGTCCTATTGCCCTTGAAGTCAGCTTGTCAGTGCTTTGGGGGAGGTTTCCTTACTTATCTTCTTTCCACACTAAACTCATTTTTTAATAGATAAGTGAATCCTTTTGAATGTTTCACAGTGAAATCTTAGGCCTTTATCTAAAAGTTTAAAAAAGGCATCCACAAATGCAGTGTCACTATAATTTTTTCATTGAACAGAATGAGTTATATTGTTTGTAAAGGCAGATCTGGAAGGCCCAGCCACACAACATAGTACTCCCCCCCACCCCCGGACACCATTGCTTTATTTCATGATGGTTTTTTTCTGCAGAAAGAAAGTCAGGCACTGCTCAGTCCTAGGACCTGGCTGTGTTAAGGACTCCTTTGTAATAGACATACAGCTGCTGGGGATAGTTGTGCATGCCTGTAATTCCAGCAGCTCTGGAGGCTGAGGCAGGAGGATCATGAGTTCAAAGCCAGACTCAGCAACTAAAATGAGGCTCTAAGCAACATAATGATACTATATCTCCAACCGTTAAAAAAGCACTGGGGATGTGGCTCAGTGGTTAAGCACCCTTGGGTTCAATCCCTCATACCAAAAAAAAAAAAAAAACCCTATCACCCACTCTATTTGGCAGTCCCTAAATGGGAACTCAAGTTATTTCAAAGTCAAGAAAGGTCCTAGGTTCAGAGTTGCCCTCCTAACATTAGCCACACTCATTTAACCACTGAGGAAGGGGTTAAATGTCAGTGTAGCAAGTTTAACCTTGATCTTTGTTTTTGGTACCACTCTTAGAAAAAAAATGCTTGTGTTCCTGTTAATAATTTAAATGTAGTAGCAATAATACCAATTTGTATGTTCATTTAAAAATATTCAATATCAGTCTATCCAGCTATTTGCAAGTTTCAAACTTGGAATATTACCTTCCACCCACAGGAGTAGGTAGAGTTAAGCAGAATCGGTTCTATGCAATTATAGAACTCCCAAAGAGCCCTCATGCCTATGGGTCACGTGAAGGCTGTTGAGCTTCTTTGTCAGCAGTGCAGGGGTACTGAGGAAGGGGAGAAAGCAAGCAAAGGTTTATTCCCTAGACTGTCATGAACCATTTGGTTGAGAAAGTAAAAAATGATAGTTCAGTTCCATATTCTCTCAGTGTACAATGGCAGGGGCTGGGTCTGTTTCAGAATTCAGAAATTTTCAGATTTTAGAAGAATAACAAAAGGCATGCACCAATATATTAATATTCCTGGTAGGATCTGGGACAGTACCCCACAATCAAGCATATGAATATTTATATAATGGGAAATATGAATATTCATACAAAGAAGAATAAATTAAAAGTATTGATGTCAGCCCCCAAATCAAATTTTGCTGCTAAGTGTGTTTGCTTAAATTTGGCTTTTACCTTTTGGTTTCAGAATTGCAAATAAGAGGCCGTAGACCAATTTTTGTACAGTGTTAGAAATGGGGCAAGTCAGGTCTAGTTAAGTCCTAGTGATATTTAATGAAACGATATCCATAAACTATAGTTTCTAATCTTGTGTCCCTCCTTCCTGGGCTCTTTCCTTTCTCTTCCATTCTCTGACCTTTACTTTGCTTATCTATCAGATGCATAAGATCTGCATTGTGGACTGTTGTGAGGATAGGAAGATCATTATGTCTGATACTGTACATGGTGTTTGGCATATAGGAGGTATTCAATGAACACTAGTTTGTGAAAATTTCACCTTGCCAGGCAGAGTGCCAGGTAATCCCAGCTATGCAGAAGACTGAGGCAGGATTGCTTGAGTTCAGATGTTTGGGGCTAACCTGAACAATACAGTAAAGCCCTGTCTCTTAAAAAAAATGTTTTTTAAATTTCACCTCTTCCATTCTCCCTTTGCATTTATTAGATTAAAAATTTATTAAAGAAGTGGCTTCAGTGCCATTCTGGAAATAAGATTAAGGGCTAAAAATTGTCCTGATGCCACTAGAGAATTAAAAGTCTAAATTTCTTTATTGCAGACTAATTTCTTGTTAAATGTCCAGTTTCTCCTAAAATTTTGTTTGTAGATTGACTAAACTTTTTTTTTTTGATATGGATATTACTGGCAATTGAACCTAGGACCTCAAGCATGCTAGGCAAGTGAGCTATACCTCAGCCCTTTTTAAAAGTTTCTTTTGATGGACTGGGGATATAGCGTAGTTGGTAGAGTGCTTGCCTTGCATTCACAAAGCCCTGGATTCAATCCCCAGTACCACCAAAAAAAAAAAAATCCAAGTTTCTTTTAAGACATGGTCAGGGTCTCACCAAGTTGCTAATGCTGGCCTCCAATTTGTGATTCTCCTGCTTCAGCCTCCTAAGTAGCTTGGATTACAGGTATGTGGCACCATGCCCAACATAACTAGACTTTTCATTGATGAATAATTATTTTGATTAGTGTTGCATCATATTTAAATCCATCAAGTGCTTCATTTTAATTGTATTTGAATTAGGAATGTTTGCCAACAGTTGATTTGCATTATGAAGCCCCTTTTTAAGTTTCGCTCCAGATACTCAACTTTTAGAAAAATATTTGGAAAAGAAGTTTCCCTAAGTACATTGTTGATAATGGTAGTGTTCAGACAGTTATAACCAAGGTTTATAATTTAATATATTGGACAAGTGGTCTTGAGTGACAAATCTTTAATTTTACAAAAACAAATAAAAAACAAGGGTATTAGTGGACTTTTAAGTGCAAAACAATGTATATATATTTTAAATACATATATATATAAAATAAATATATATATTAAAGTGTTTTATTAAGTGGATCTCTGTTTTTAAATTCATAAAGGCTTCACTTTTTAAAAGGGAATAATCATTATAAAAGAATTGCCCTTTGTCGTCAAACCATTTTGTAAAGCCTCATTTTGTATTTTATAATCTGTGAAAAGAAATACTCTCAAATACCAACATCTGGTCTAATGATTTGTAATCCTGAATGCAGGACATTTGAATTTATTTTTCTGACCTTTTTCTCTTAATTCATGAGGATTATAAGTATTTGTTCCACTTCCACTATAGTTTTGGATCAGAAACAGAAGAATTAAAACAGAAGGATTTCAAGAGAAGAGAGATGTTGGCTATTTGCTGGGCTTATACCCCCAGGACTTTTAGCATTTAAGTGGGACACCACATACCTGCCTACATCCCTATGCATTGTGTTGCTGTCTCCACAGCTGAACTATCAGCAGAAAGTGGGCATCATGTACTGCAAAGCAGGACAGAGCACGGAAGAGGAGATGTACAACAATGAGGCAGCTGGCCCAGCCTTTGAGGAATTCCTTCAGCTGTTGGGAGAACGAGTTCGGCTAAAAGGATTTGAGAAGTACCGAGCACAGCTTGACACCAAAAGTAAGAAATACTTTTCACCTCCCACTATGCTTGTTTTCCCCCTACTGTGCTGATGTGCATCTGCCAAACTACCCATAAAACAACTTTGCCATCTATTGCAGAAAATTACTTGTGATGGGGGAGAGAAAGTTAGAGAGGTAGAATGTAGCACCAGAGCAATTGAAGAACATAACCAAAATAGTCAGGATTGAGGCTGGGATATAGCTCAGTTGGTAAAGTGCTTGCCTACCATGCACAAAGCCCTGGGTTCATTCTCTAGCATCGCGCGCACACACACACACACACACACATACACACACACACAGCCAGGATTGGACTACAAGAAAATAATGTCATCAGAGGTATGGAGGGAATAAAGCAGCAGACACAGATCACACAGAATCACTCCAGGATAACACTGCACAAGTTTTATTACATGTAGCTGAATATTGGGTGATTAAAAACCATAAGAGCTCACAGCCATCTGATTGCAAGCCCTAGAATTTTTTACTTCATTAATTTGTTTTCATAATTCTCATGCTTATCCATGTAGTCTTTGTTTATTCTACTTGCTTATTTTTGTATTCTTTGAATACCTAGATGGATTTTTGTTGTTTATTATTATTGTCCATGGTCTATCTTAACTCAAAGGAAAAAAGTTTTTTAGCTTTGGTATTAGTCTGGCTCATAAAGTGTGTTGATAAAAGCACAATAATGAAGTGTCTGTTTAATTACAGTGCATGAACCCATAGTGTTGTCCACTCCCATTCTCCTAGTGTCAATAAAATAGTTTTAGTTCTCAAATATCTATTTTGGTAAGGATATGTTGGCTTCTGCTGCATGTCTACATGGAGGCAGTTTAAATTTTATCTGTAAATTCATCCATAGACACCTGTGACCTGTTTTTCTTTGAGAAGGTCTTTGGATTAGCACTTCTGTATTACAGTCTATAGTAATCTCTCTTATTTTCGGTACAGGAAATTAAATAAGGAGTTGAGTCACGAAAACAGAAAAGCATTCATAAACTCCACTGCAGGAAGAATTTCCTGTTGCCATGGTTTTGCTGTTGCCAACTTGGAAACGACATGCAAGAGAGACTATTAAAACCCACAAATAGCCTAGCCTCTTAAATAATTTTAATGTTCTATACTGTGCTTTCAACTGCATAAAAAGTTAAATCTCTGTTAGCCTTTTTATCCAAAATATTCTGGTATTCACCCCGTTGTCTTAATTTGTTATGTTATATAAATCATCATCATCAAAAAGAACTATTGAAAGCATCTGAGGAAAAAAAAAATGTATGAGTATCCTGGTTTTGCAAATGAGTAGTCAAATTGGGAGCTGATAAGAATGTGTTGAAAAGAATATATTATTTGTATACTTATACCTTCCCAACCACCTCTTCATGATGAAGGTAATGTGAGAGATGTATGACTGAAATATAGTTAAGCAGTCTGGCTTCTGATAAGGCAATGCAATAAGTAAAATAGGCACTTTGTGCAAATTTTGCCTTAATATCCCAGTAGCTTTGAAGGCTAGAAAGAGATGAATCTCGACTGGCAAACTGCCTCTAACTCTACAGTTTTAGAATTATGTAAATGCACTCTACCAGGAAGTGTTTCCTTTTCTCCCCTTTCAGAGTGTGTATTAGTGTACTTTTCTTCTTAGCAAAATACCTGAGGCTGGATAATTTGTAAAGATATGAGATTTATTTAGCTAACAGTTCTGGAGCTCACAGTTAGCATTGGGCCCGCTTCTGCCTGGCTCAGTGAAGGCCTCAATGGTGTGGTGAAAGCACATGTGGAAGAGGCCACATGTTAAGAAAGGAAGGCAGGGCTGGGGATGTGGCTCAAGTGGTAGCGCGCTCACCTGGCATGCGTGCGGCCCGGGTTCGATCCTCAGCACCACATACCAACAAAAGATGTTGTGTCCGCCGAGAACTAAAAAATAAATATTAAAAATTCTCTCTCTCTCCTCTCTCACCTCTCACTCTCTCTTTAAAAAAAAAGAAAAGAAAAAGAAAAAAAGAAAGAAAGGAAGGCAGAGAGCTGGGAAGGGTCAGTCTTGCTCCTTTTATAACAACCCATTTTTATGGAAACTCACCCTGCAAGACCAGCGCTAATCCCTTCCAAGAATAACGCTCACAGTGAAGAAGTTACCCCTTTCCACTATGTCTTGCCTTTTTAAAAGTTCCACTGTTGCTTTTTTTAATACTAGATATTGAACCCAGGAGCACTTAACTACTGAGTCACATCCCTATCCCTTTTTGTTTTTTTACTTAGGGCCTCACTTAGTTGCTGAAGCTTTCCTCGAACTTGTGATCTTCCTGACTCAGCCTCTAGAGCCAATAGGATTATAAGCATGCACCTCCATATCCAGCTTTACCACCTTTTAATACTACTACATTGGAGACTAAACCTGTAGCACATGAGCCCTTGGGGGCAGGGGTCACACTTAAACCTATCCAAACCATAGTAGGGTATAGTTTCCCGAAACAAATGAAACTAAGGATGTATTTTTACTTGAAAGCCCGCGATAAGGCAATAATATAAAATTCTCTTTTTTATCCCTGAGCTAATAGACAAAACCCAGAGAAGTCCAGTAGTCTCATTCTTTAAACCTCTATTAAATAAGAATAGACCACTAAGGGGTTGGGGATGTAGCTCGGTGGTAGAGCACTTGCCTAGCATATGTGAGACCTTGATTCAGTTCCCAGCACCAAAGATGCACAAAAAGGAATAGGCCACCAAAATTGTCAAGAGCCAGCCTCTATACACGCAACGGCCTCTCACTGGCTCTGATACACTAGCAATAAGCCTGCTCTTGGGCGGGGATTGTAGCTCAGTGGTAGGGCGCTTGCCTTGTAAGCGTGAGGCACTGGGTTCAATCCTCAGCATCACATAAAAATAAATAAATAAAAATAAAGATATTATATCAATCTACAACTTTAAAAAAATTTTTAAAAAAGACTGCTCTGTGTTCAGTCATAATCTCATCACATTTTGTCTAACTTTATTATGTGGTATATAATCCTCACAAAGAAAAAGTACTTTCTGGATCAAATCCTCCTAAAGAATCATTCTCACTGTTGATCTCACTTGAATCCTTGGATGTGTAGTTCATTACATTAAAATATTATTTACTATTATTTATTCCTTTTTTTTTTTCTGTTTTACCTCCTTCTGAGTCTCCAGTTACAAATGTATTTTGTCACTCTCTAGTGTATATACCATAGGGTGATGTGGCTCTGCTTATTTTTTTTCCCAGCCTTTGTTTTTTCTGTGCTTCAGTTTGGATAATTCCTACTAATATGTCTTCAAGCTTCTTATGTTCCCCGCCCCACTCCACCGTGTCTTAATTCATTGTTAATTTAATCCAATTTCTGTTAAGGTATCATAATCATTAGAGCCAGAAGTTGCATTTGGTAAATTTTTTTCCTACCTTCTATTCTCTCCTCATTAAGATCTTATCCAAAACCTTGAATATTTTATAATAGTTGTTTTAAAGTCTTCATTTGCTAATTTTATCATCTTTGTTATTTTGAGCTTCCTTCTTTTAGTGAATTTTTCCCTACTTTGGATTACATTTCACTACTTCATTTGTCTGGTTATTTTCTTTTAATATTTTTAGTTGTAGATGGACATAATGCCTTTTTTATTTATATTTATGTGGTGCTGAGGATTGAACCCAGTGCTAGGCAAGCGCTCTATCATTGAGCTGCAGCCCTGATTATTTTTGTTAGGTATTGGATATTGTGAATGTTTGTCATTGAGTGTTTGGATTTTATTGTCTTGAGAGAGTTGACTTTTGTTTTGGCAGGAAATTAATTTATAGAATAGATTGGTCTTCATGAGCCTGGTGTTTTAGCTTTGTTGAAGCATGCCTAGAGTAGGCTTTAGTCTCTGGCTAATTTGGCCCTACTACTAAGGCATGGCTTTTCTTGCACCTGGAATACCTGCATATTCTATGAAGTGTCTGCTGTGGCTGGTCAGAGCTTAGGTGTTCTTCAACCGTGTTTGAACTGTGGCAGTTCTTTGGCTTACAGTTTTTCTTTGCTTTTGGAATTCAACTCCTGTCTACAGTTTACTATTCACCCCCGGATTCAAGGGGGACCCCTCTTGAGATTTCTGATCTTCTACTGTGAGGTTTCTTCCTCTTAGATGCTGTGCCTAACAGATCTCAGCCACCTCAGTCTTCCTGAACTCCAGGCTGTCCTGGCTTCTCCTTGAAAGCCTTGCTCTATACCATTATCTTGAAAGTGCCTCTAGGTAGAAAACTGCTAGCTTCTTCGTAGTTTTCCTAGAGCTCCCTTTCTAACGCTGCCTCTTGCCTAGTTTTTGAAAACACTTGGCTCAGGCATTTCACCACCTTTTCTCATTACTGACAATGGGAGAGTGAGTCCTGTACCCTGTTATATGTGGCTGGAAGCACAAGTTCCAGATGCTTTATCTACACAGGTGCCATCTCATTTAATCCCTACAAACTACTAGCTACCAGTTACCCCCCCCAACCCCACTTAACAGAATTGGCTTCTTTAGATTTACCAACATGCCCACACTTAGATAGCTGGTAAGCATTAGGGAAGTGGAACAGATCCTAGTGGGTATGGTTAATGAAGTGTGCAGAGAGCATAATGTGAGCTCCAAGCCTGGCTATTTGGCTCTGTCTTTCCTTTCTCAGTCCCTTAGACTAATCTCATGAGACAGCTCTACTTGTCATGTGTTGTGATTATATTTGGATTTTCTTCTATGAAGGAGAGAGAGAGGCTGAGGAAGGAAAGGATTGATGATGGAGATATCAGACCATTTCTTCTTTTTCATAATTATCTGTACAAGTTCATTTCTTCATCTCAGAAATAAGGACTTGGAGCAGACAAATAACCTACAGATAAATATGTCATAGGCTGGACAAGCTTTCTATGAAGAATTTTCAGTAGTGGATATTTTTTTGCCTCTCTTTGTCTTATTATTATTATTTGAATGACGTATAATTCAAATAATCACCATTTACCTCACAGTGTGATAAATACAAAAATAAACTTCTCTCCAAGCAGTTTATTTTTGGAAAGTGGAAGACCACCCTCATTTTAAGCAGTGCCTATTGATCATTATTCAGGGAATCATTTCCTGACCGAGTCTTGCCTGTCAGGTCAGCACCCATGAGCCTTACAAATCTTTTATAAAGCATTCCTTCTCAGCCTTGCCCTCTTTAACATGTTGCAATTTCATGAATGCTTGTTGCCTCCTCTATTTTTCAATGATGTTGTCAACAATTGAAATTCAGGAGCTTGAAAGAGACTTAGATTTTTCATAAATAAAATGAGTTCTTCTTTATGGGGAATATTTGAACGCTGATTGGGAAAAGTATAAAACTAGCATACTTAAATGCTTTGCACAAGCAAAGGGCTAGTCAGTATTCTAGAAACTGTTGAATAAAGGAGTCTTTTAAAGGAAATTGCACTTTTTAATTTAACTGAACAGCATTGTACACTCTCACTAGCACATTTATCAAGCATCTTTTATGGGCTAGCACTTTCATATACTTTATTTCATTTAATCCTCTTGACAGTGAGAATACTGAAGAATATAGAAGTGAAGTGACTTATATGTAGTCATTTGACAAGTGATACTATTGCCATCCCTGATTAGATCTTACTTCCAAGCTGGGGATCATGTAATTGCAGTTATCCTACAATGTGAGCAGTGGTTAGAAAATAGTAGTGGCTGACTGTTAAGTACCAGCTGCACGCTATCTCTGTCCATGTCTCTCAATAGGCTAGTGATTTTGAGAAGCCTTGAGCCCCAAGAACATTTCTTAAACTAACACAGTATCAATTTGCCTTTTATAGTAAAGGGTAATGGCAATAGTTGTTGGAACTATTCTCATGCTCATCTTCCTTGAAGTAAATTAACCTATCTCCTGACCAAGGCTAAAAATTCATTTTTAAAAAATTAGGAAATACATCAGATGCCAGACAAATGGAATTCTTCACTTCCCCCAACTACTTCATTCGTGAGTAAATCAGTAGTACCCTAGGATCCAAAACTTGTCTCATCTCAGATATATGCCAATGTTCCACAAGTGCATACCTTGTGTTTGCTGTGCTTCTGAGCATCCCTGATCTTTCAAGGAAGGTTGCACACATGTGAGATCTCACTCTAGCATGAGGATCTTAAATGAATGGTCCCAGCAGTAAGCTATTAGAATATATATTCTTTCAAACTGTGGATTAGAATCAAATTTACAATCTGTCTGTGATTTTACTTACTTTGATGTTACTTTTCTCCTTTTTTTTTTTTTTTAATTGTTGGGGATCAAATCCAGGGCTTCAAGCATGCTAGGCAAGCATTCTACCACTGAACTGCATCCCTAGCCTCCTTAGATATTTAAAACTGAGGACTTTTCCTAAAATCGATTTGTATAGATTTATTTTCTTTCATTGAGCTTTTCTTGTTTAATGACCATGAAAAAGTTACATGAAAGTTTTAATTACTTTTTCCTCATTTCAGTTGACACACATCTACCATATCATCCATGCATTCAACTACCTAAAAGCAAAAGAGTCAAAAGAGAAGTTAGGTACAGCTGTGACACTGTCTGTACCTTGAAACTGCTTCTGCAGGCTTATTTACCTATTTATATCATCTTCAAGTAGAAATGCTTGATGTAGGACATTATCACTTATCTATACCTTTTAAAGCAATTGAGAATATTATCATTCCTCAATTATTCAGTGTCTTCTTCTCATCATCTAGTTTGATTCTTAGAGAAGTTTTACTTGCTATGACTTAACCTTCAAGTTCCAATTTATGAGTGAGTACATGCCCCTGCCTGGAAGTGTGAGTTGGAGGTGGGTCTTGTGATTGTTGAGATGACCTATATGGTGCCTGAGATTCCTCAATATGTATTTTTTTTTTGACAAACAAAAAGGCATTTTATCTATTTTTCTAATTTTCATCCTGTTAAGACTTTCATAGTTTCAGGATTTTATGGTTACTAAAAATACAATAATGAGCCTGGTAGTTCACCTGCAATCCCCAAAAATTGGGTGGCTTAAACAGACTAGCCTGAAAATCTTATTAGCAAAACCCTGTCTCAAAATAAAAATTTTAAAAAAGGGATGGGAATGTAGCTCAGTAGTAAGTTCCCTGGGTTCAAACCCCAATTCCAAGGGGGAATAGAACCAAGAATAAAAACATTAGATATTTTATTTTATTTTAGAAAATATAGTGACCATTCTTTTTCTGTTCTCCCTGGTAAAGCTTAGCAATTCTATTATGTACATAGTAATTTCCAGATTTTAGAATTTACTACTTCTCAGAAATTTTTGTTGTTTTGACCCTAGTTTCATCTCTGAAACTTTTGAAACTATTTCCAAAATGTTGGAAATTCTCAGTAAAACTCTGGGATTTCCAAAGATCCCCAGCAAATGGTGGTCAAATAGCATATGTTGTATGAGGTGAGACGTGAAGAGGAAAGAAATGTCTAGAAACAGCAAAGTAAATTATCTCTTGGGTTGTCTTCCATATCAGTTTTTCTCTCTGACAATAATCCTTTTTATATTAGCTACATAAAGCAAAATGTTACAAATTAATACAAGTGACAATCTTTTCTTCTTGCTCATTAATTTTGCTTAAAATTTACTTGAAACACTGGTAAGTATACATCACATGTGGCACATTCACCTTAAAATTTTAAAATGCACTAATCAGTTCTGTATATATTTATAGCAGGGATCTTTAACAGTAGACTCAAGTCCAATCTTAAACAGTAGAGTACTTTATTGAAGTAAAATGCTGCAGTTTTTGTGTGGTGGTGATATTGAGATTTGTAAGATTCTTTCCTTGGGTAGTCATACATGGGTACATATTTCTGCAAACTTTTTAATTTTTGGTACCAGGGATTTAACTCAAGGGCACTCAGCCACTGAGCCACATCTCCAGCCCTGTTTTGTATTTTATTTAGAGACAGGGTCTCACCAACTTGCTTAGAGCCTCACTAAGTTGCTGAGACAAGCTTTGAACTCATGATCCTCCTGCCTCAGCCACCCGGGCCACTGGGATTATAGGTGTGCACCACTGCATCCAGTTTATTTCTGCAGTTTTTAAAAAATAATCTTTGCTTTGTTCTATTTTTAACTTATTTTTAAACCCTAGTATTTTATATCAGCTTCAAAATTAATACCTTCTAATAAACTCAAGCTTGAAATTAGATATCTAGAACACCTTTCTAAAGCTGTCTGTAAGCCACAATTGTAGTCTGTGCTGGAGGCAGTGGAGCTACTTCTGTGGAGGGCCATGGAGCTACTTCTGTGGAGCTACTGCCTTAGAATTACCTGGAGTGTTTATTAAAAACAGATTCCTCTGTTGAGGCCCCATACCCAATGTGCAGCACTCCTGCGGTTGGGGCCTGGGATTCTGCCTTTGAGAACTATTGCCTTTGTGTTATAGCATCTTTCTCTAAAATGCAGCAAAATGTTCTGGTCTTCAAAAATATAGTTGATGGAGGGTTGTGCCCAGACTGAAAGTACTTCTGTTCCTTTTGTGGTTTATAAACCATGTCTTTCAAGTTTAAACTGATCTTCCCTTTGATTTGGGTAGTCAGTAACTCTCTTCTCTGTTTCCAAGAATTTGTGGTCACATTGATTCTGAAACTATTTTTGTTTAGGCAGTAGAAGTTCCCCACCGCCCAACCCATTAAAAAAGGTGAAAACACAACACATACCTTTAAGTCTTTAAAAAAATTGTTGTACATTCCTAAAATACCTTTGTGCTTCAGAGTTTCAGATTTGTTATCATTGTGTGTTAAGAACAGTTGTCTTGCTTGAATTGGAAGTATTAGAAAAAGTTTCTTTTCTCTCTCTCTCTCTCTCTCATATTTTTAGTTGTAGATTGACATAATGCCTTTATTTTATTCATTCATTTTTATGTGGTGCCGAGGATTGAACCCAGTGCCTCACATGAGCTAGGCAAGTGTTCTACCACTGAGCCACAACCCTAGCCTCTAGAAGTAGTTTCTTAACTTGATATTTATGTGCAGAAATCAGGAGTCAGGGAACTTGGATAATCATTTTGTCATTACTTTCACAGAGTTTAGGTCAAAATTTAGAAATTCCTTCAATTGTGAATATAGACAACAAACCATAGTACTAACTGCTCTGCCTATGATTCTGTTGTCCATAAAAAGGAGATGTTTTCATATCACATTATCTATTGGTACAGCTATCTTAGGATATTGCTTAGACTTATCATTCCTTCAGAATTATAATAGAAGTAGATAAATTATTAGATCTTATAAATTTTATGTGTATTGTATTTTTAAATTTTCTGTATAGTTGATTTATTTTGAAATTGTACATTTTTTTAATTCATTAACAAATATTATTCTGAGAAGAAATCCAATTTCATAGGCCTCCTAGACTGCCAAAACAGATTGGTTATTTTTTAAAAAAGAAAGTATTAAAACCTACAGTGGGTCTTGTTAGATCTTTTCTTTCCAAATAATTTTCTTTCCTTTTTCCTTTTTTCCCCTGAGATATTTATCTTAAATGAATTAGTTTTCCTATTCTGATAGACATTTCATCATTTTGTATTTTTTCACTGTAGCTGACTCCACTGGAACCCATTCTCTGTACACAACATACAAAGACTATGAGATTATGTTCCATGTGTCTACCATGCTGCCCTATACACCCAACAACAAGCAACAGGTAAGAGATCTCATGTTATCAGTGCTTCCCCCCCCTTATTTCATTTCCCAGAGAAGCCTAAGTGGCAAGTTTGCAAAATTTGAAACCAGAATTTAGTGTTGCACCTGTCACCGCAGCAGGAAGCTTTGTGATTTGTGCTCTGTGGAAACAGGAATAGCAAATGAGCGGAAAACAAATGAAGAGACACAGATTCCAGGTTAACAGCCAGCTGGATGGCTTTGCAAATTAATCATTTGCTTTTCACCCACAGGGATTGAGGTTTTCATGAAATCTGAAGAGAACAAGTTGAAATCGTGATTAGATGACTCTGCAGGGTTGCAAAGAACATGCAGGAAGTGGGTGAAATTTCTCAAGAGGCCAGTGCAGAAAGCAGCAAAGTACTGTTTCTTCATTTAGATTTCAAGGGAGATTTAGTCTAACTTGGAGAAAAGTCACAGTGTCAGTAGAATCTCAGAATAATGTTCTGTCATAGCATGTTCATCAGGAGATGTCAAGGACCTTAAATAACAACTGCATGTGTATGTGTCACACAATGTAGTCTGTCTTAAAAAGATCTAAAAGCACAGTGTGTCATTACTAAAATTTGAAATAGTAAAGTACAACAACTAAGAAGTATGATCATTACAGAGTAAAATGGAAACTGGCAGTATTGTGTTTGAGAATATGTGGTAGGTTTTTTTTTTTTAATTCAAAATAAATAATACCAACTAGAGAACTAAAAAGACTCTCCTTTCAAAGCTATTAAAAACATGAACAGTCCAGTTTTACTTGTGACCTTAAAGTGGATGTAGATTTTTGTTATTGTCAATTGTTGTACTAACAGAACTCAGGCCAGCTGCAGAATGAATCACATCCTCTTTCACAAAATTTTACCAAACACTGACCTAATCTAGCACTTCATCGCTTTAGGTTTGAGTAAATTACAAATCTAAGTAGTGAAAGTTTACTTTCAAGATTATCATATTAATAAAAAATAGGACAAAAAGTAGTGAATCAGTTATAAATCTAAAATGAAACTGTTTTAAGATAAACTCACTAATCTGGACTTTGTTGACACTTTGTCTTATGCAAACTCCAAGTTCTAGATTTCTCTGAGAAAAAATATACGATGCTAACTAGACTTCTTATTGTAACTAGTCAGTAGACAAAAAAATTAAGAACTTTAACAAATTATCTTTAATGGGGAGATAAAAGGCTTATTCTGCCTGAATACTCAGAATAGAAAGATCAGATTTGTGAGGGTAAAAAATTTAATAAGATTCAGTTATTTCTAAGTAAATGAGTTTAAGTTGATATTTAAGTGGAAAACTATTTTAATTTGGGGGTCTAATCAAAGCAAAAGTGTGTGATCATAGACAAGAATAAAAAAATAATTAGTACCGTTATATTTTAAGAAATTTTTGCCATCTGAGTGACACATACCTGTAATCCCAATGACTTGAGAGGCTGAGGCAGGAGGCTTAAAATTTCAAGGCCAGCCTTAACTACTTGGTGACTTGGTAGGACCCCGTCTCAAAATAAAAAAGTTAAAAGGACTGGGAATGTGGCTCAATGGTAGAGGAAGCCTGTGTTCAATCTCCAGTACAAAAAGAGAAAACAAATTCTCATTCTTTAGCTGAGGAATTAATTTTCTTCTGTATAGATGACTTTATGCATGGAAAAAATGGAAATAATGTATCTCTTATAATCTTTTTTTGCGCTCTTTTAAAAATGAATACAGGCTTTTATTATGCATAAGAGAGATAAATGGATTTGTTTCTGTTTTGTCCTTCATGAAGTCATTAATTTCAGATATCAAGACACATGTCAAGGAAAGAATGACATTACATGAAAAAAGATGATGTCCCCTATTGTCATCTATGCAGGAATAGACATAGACAAGTAGTATTTATTTTTGGCTTGTTAAAGCTCTTGAATATGTTAATAATCTTTAATTATTGGAATATTCTGAGCAGCAATCAATTCAGACCATAACATCTGATTATATATCATGTTAGAAATGAAGTAAAATGCCTCAATTGAAGATAATATGGGATATTTACAAATTCCTTAAATTAAAAGTGCATTTCCTAAACATTCTAACCCCCAATTCTCAATCCTAATCTAAAAGGCATCTTTTCTCCTAGTTGACAGCCAGTATAGATCATTGATTTTACTGTTACCTAATTTGTGTACCTTGATGTCACTAGAGAATTTTTTAAGTTTTATAAGTGCAACTTTATGTCTAATGGATAGTGTATAAAATGTCACATTGAGCTATTTTTCTCTTTTAAGAGCTTCCATAAAATAAATATGTGAGCTGGGTGTGGTGTTGCACACCTGTAATCTCAGAGGCTCAGGAGGCTGAGGCAGGAGGATCATGAGTTCAATGCCAGCCTCAACACTTAGCAAGGACCTAAGCAACTTAGCAAGACCCTGTCTCTAAATAAAATATATTAGAAAGGGCTAGGGATGTGGCTCAGTGACTAAGCATCCCTGGGTTTAATCTTTGGTACCTAGATAAATAAATAAATAAGAGAAACATATATTTCGTTCATTTTTTTCTTTACACTATTGAATTAAAGTGTTATAATCTCCTTGTGAAAAGGCAGTGGCCTACAGTGATTTGGGGTGCCTGAATTTGAAACCACCTATATAAAACACCATTTAACATGAAACAGAAGGTGGTCTTAAGCAGCTTTCAATGTAATTAAAGTAGCTGTTTAAACCTGAAATTTAACCTACTTTTAAATCGTTACTCCATTGTGGAATATTATTACTTTCAACACTCTCAGTTTGTGACATAAAAAGTCTAACAGCAACACCTTAGCCACGTTTTCTCTAAATGCAGCCAATTAAACCAGAACATAAATTGCCTTGTAATTGCTTCAGCCATTCTCATCTCATCGAAATCTTCCCTGTGGCAAGTTTTTTTCTTATACAAAAATGGAACAAAACTGTTGTTATAGAAACTGAGGGTTTGGAGATGTTTGGGTCTGAACATAATATGCCAGATATTGGTTAGATTTATTTGAATGGCCTTATATTTTATGCAAATTTCAGAATATTCATTTCCATATTCCTTGGAGGGAATAAGACAAGCTAAAATATTGACAATAACTGCATAGATTACCTACCCTAGTCTGTACTGATTAGTAATGAGTGTTTAAAATACGGTTATGTAAAGAAAATCGGGAGGGGAAATAAGGGCGCTGTCATTTATGTTGATTGCTTATTTTTTTCATAGCTCCTACGAAAGCGGCATATTGGAAATGATATTGTAACAATTGTTTTCCAAGAGCCTGGAGCACAGCCATTCAGCCCAAAAAATATCAGATCCCATTTTCAGCATGTCTTTGTCATTGTCAGGGCTCACAGCCCCTGCACCGACAACGTCTGTTACAGGTATGTATCCCTACTTCGCTAGTGGCTAGGTGGACACTGGCTGAGTGTCATGCAGAGGCCCCATCCAGCTTTGCTTTCTGAAGTGGCAGTGGAGAGTCTGTTACTATTTATTTTGGTCCTTAAATTGTGTATGCAGTTGAACAGATTCACACAATGACATAACCTGATGGCATTGGCATCCCCCAGACTCGTTAGTTAGACACCTGCTGTTTCCATTTGCACCTCCTCCTTAGGCAGTAGCCTTCATCCATACCATCTGGTTACTAACCAACTAATTACTCATAGTGTTAATTATATATAATACACACACACACACACACACACACACACACACACACGGCAAAAGCAGAGATAAATTCTCATAATAAATGGGGAAGAGAAATTCACTTTTAAACAATTATTGTCATTAAAAAAGCCTAATCTTGTTTCTGACTTCTTGATTCACTGTTGTTTCTAAATATAACTTTAGAGGCATTTCTATACTTTCTTAAATATCTGTTGAAAATACTTCAGTGTCAGTAGTTGACCAATCTCATGAGTATCTGAATTCAGAGGGCTTAGGTACTAAAGGAGATAGGACCTGTGATACTGTCTTGATTTGAATGGAACCCCAAGAAGTGTAAGGATACTCTAGCATTTGTAAGACATGTCTAATACTCATCAAGCCTTTCAAAGTATGAAAGTTTAGCATATCTTTCCATCCATAAACTTTAGGTGTTAGGCTTTGTTAATCTTTTATATTCATTTTTGAAGTAATGTTGCTACCTGCACAGAAAGTGGCCAATACAGACTAATAATGAGTTTGTGAGGACCACTACTATCTAATTCTAGGGTAATGCAGGTTAATTCTAGGAGTAAAGCGCTTTAGGGGTCAGAGTTAGTAAAGGTTACTCTGGACTGCTGCTGACTGCTCCTGTCCTTGCTTGCATCACAGGATGCATTCAGTGAGGTCTTCCTGTAAGCTCAGTACCACTCTCTCTACCTTACATGTGTTACCTCATTTAACCTTGGTGTGTGTATATGTGTGTACATGTTCTTTATTTTTGTATTATATGTAATTAGAATTAAAATTACACTTGTGATTATTATCTCATGCATTCTTTGTGTTTTAACAGTTATTTTTATTGGCACATTGTACTTATGCATAATAGTGAGGCTTATTATGTCATTTGTACATGCACACAATATAATTTGTTCAGACTTATTCTCCAGTACTTTTCCTTTTCCCTCACTTAATCTTTAAAACCTATGAAGGCAGGTACCATTTTTGTCCCCATTTCAGACAATGAAATTGAAGTACACAATGGCTATATAACTTGCCGGAGTCCAGCTGACTCTCACTGGGCAGAATCAGATGTAGGTAGGGGGTTGGGTACTGGGGATTGAACCAGGGTCTTGTGTATACTAGATAAACACTCTATCACTTAACTACCTACCCAGCCCTATTTTACTTTATTTTTCCATTCCATTCCTCCCCTTACCCTCTCCCTCTTTCACAAGCCATGAAAGGTGGGTTTTTGTAGTCCTTGTTCCTGACACGCAGCTATGTTCCAAAATTTCTCAGATACTTGAGCCTATATAAATACCCAAACCAGAGAGGTCTTCAGTTTCCCAAGTTCCAGGATGGAAACCCTGATAGTGTAGATCTACATCTGAAGCCCCTTCACCTAAGACACACTCTTTGAAATCTGCTTGGGTAGTTATAGAATGAATAAATAAGCACAGAACATTTGGCTGTAATTGATATGGATAACTTTTTATTTAGAAAATACTTGAGCATTTGAAGCCTGCTATCTACTGGATTCATGTAAAAGGATTTCACACTACTTTGTAGATAGAAAGCTAAGCCCTTTTTGAATGGGCACCTGGAAGTTTGGGGAATGGAAAACTAGACAGTTTCTTCTAACGAAAATTTATTCTTTTCCAGGCTTTTGTCTAAATCAGTACTGTTCAGTAGAAATATACAAGCCAGGGCTCTGGATGTAGCTCAGCTATGGTGCTTGCCTAGATGCATGAGGCCCTGGGTTCAATCCCCATTACCACAAGAAGGGAAAGAAAAGAAATAAAATACAAATTACACATTAATTTCATATTTTCTAATAGCCAGATTTTTAAAAAAAGTAATAAGAAATGCGTGAAATTAATTTTGATACTGTTTTTTTCACCCCATATAATATTTTATTTACCAAATATATTTAAGTATTAACATTTCAACTTGGACTAGTGTGATTCTTAAAATTTAAAAAAAATACTGTAACATTTACATTTTTTGGATTAAGTCTTTGCAATCTGGAGTGTATTTTAGACTTAACAGCACATCTGAGGATGTTAAATTTTCAGTGGACATAATCTGTATTAAGATTTTATAAAACTTTCAATTGAAAAGGTAGATTTTTACACACAGATTGTTCCAGACACACTTTTAAAAAATATTTCAACTGAATTAAATGCCAGTTTTAAAATTTATATTAATTAAAATTTAATATTACTTAATATTCCTTGCTCACACCAATCAGATTTCAAGTACTCAGAAGCTGTATGTTGTCAGTGGTCACCATAATGGACAGCACAAGTCTAAGCACACTGCTTAATGGTGCAGGAGTATGGCCGTTTTCATTGCTTTGCTGTTTTGTTGTTGTCTCTGAAACCATGATTTTTGCTTTCTCTTACATTTAATCTGTTGCCTAAAGAGCACGTCTTTTTAACCTATCATATGACGCTATGAGAGTCTGCCAAGAGAAGCACACTGAGTACCCCTACTCATGCCACACAGGTGTGTCTGAAATTTCCTAGTTGCCAAGCTTGACTGCAGCCCAACACATCTTTTGCTTTTCTCCATTAGTAAATCAAAGGGAACATACCAATATGTAACATCACCGAAAGAAATCACAAGAAATTATAAAGTAATGACTTTTTCCTACTGTAAACTTTAGGTATCAAAATTTTCTTTGACCTTCTCAAATGAATTAGGTTATGGTGAGGTATTTGGAGGCCCATGCAGCCTTTACTGTGGGAGGAGGCAATGAGGAGGAGCTTATTTTCTCAGGAAAATAGATATATTACAAAGCAGAATAGAAAATAGAAAAAAATAGAAAATCTGTGGCAATTTTAGAATAAAACTGAGTCCTCAAAGAATTTTCACAGCTGTAAATTTGTTATCTACTGCAGCTATCCTCAGACTAGCAGAAATATGAATTTATATGCCTCTTTCATTAGAAGTACTTTGGTGTAAAGTTTAGAGCTACATTGATTTATTCTAATTTTAATTATAATTTAACTTTATTCCTGTGTGATGTAACTAGAGAAATTCAAATGCTTTTAATCATTTAAAATCTCTTCATTCCAATTTTCTCAAATATTTCTCATTTATGCTTATATGTTTATTTGCTGAAACCTACTTGATGTCTGTGGTCTGGAACTTGGAAACTTTTTCTCAGGGAAATATCTTATTATAAACATGTAGAGAAATTCAGGGTCAGTATAGACTGAAGTTATAAAGGATATGAAGAAAATGGATTCAGTGTATGTTTTAAACACAGAAGGAATTCAATGAGAACAAAATGAATTATTTTACGTGGTAAGGGGTAGGTGCAGTAGGAGCATAGGGACAGAATGGAGGGTGAGAAGCCTCGGTAAGCAGACCCCTGACACAAGAAAAAGGAGGATGAGGCAGTAGAGGCCCTTGGAATTCAGAGCATCCAGGAAACCTTTGTAGAATTTTAGAAAAATGTACCCAGTGTTTCTATGCAAGGTAATAGGCAATTTTTACACAGAAAGATACGTTTGGAAGTTGTTTTTATCTTTCATTTTTCACTAGTTCTTTTGTCAAATACTTTTTTGTGTATGTGCCAGGCACTATTCTAAACCCTGGGATTTAACTGGAGGACAAAAAAAAAATTCCTATAGTCAATCCAGAGAGAAGGTCCTGGAATAGTATGTCATTAAGCCTTCCTGGGGACTGGAAAGTTTAGGAAAAACTGACTAATTCTAGAAGCCAAATAACTTTAAATGGCCTTGACAAAGCCAAGGACTGCGATATCAGTCACAATGTCTGCATACAAAGCTTACCCTGTAACTGATCAAAGGGCCCTCCAGGCCCTGTTCTGTTTGTATCATTGCAATAAGCTTAATTGCTTGGTCTCAGTTGATAGAGCAGAGAAGCTGCAAATCAAAAAGATGAAGGAGCAGCAAAGGGCAAGAACATGCTAAAAACATCAATATGTGATTATCGTTAGAGGAGATGCAGAGAAAGTATTCACATTAAAGATACAAATTCAGTAAGAATAGTAGTCTGGGACATCTGCTTTGAGAACAAATAACCAAATGTACTTTACTCACCCCTGAGGGCCTCACCTTATAAAAACAGTGTTGAATATCACCATTTTTCAACAACTAATGAATTATTGGATCTGGCATTGATCATCAAAGGCTGCAAACGTCACAAAAAAAAAAAAAAAGATGTGTGCTCTTACAAGGTACTCATGTTTCCTCTCTCGCCAAGTTAAATATGAATCTGATCAAGGCTCTAGGCAAGTCAGTTTATAGGACATGGAAAAGACATAGGAGCACCTATAGTTGACAAGATTCAAATTCTGGACAACTCCAAACAAGAACAGACCAGTTTCTTCAACAGATAGATTACAAGAGATAAAAGGATGGGAGAAGTGCAGGGGAATCCATTAAATGAGAAATTTTTTAAAAGGTGGACTAATTAATTACAAGTTGTTGATTTTATTTGGATCCTAATTGAAACAAAAAGATATAAAAAATATAAAGGTATCTTAAACAATTGGAGATAGGACCATTGGCTCCCTATTTGATGAAGTTAAAGAATATTTTTAAACTAGCATAGTAATAAGTACTTGTAATAATGACCCTATGTCTTCAAAACAAATGTTAATTCTGACCAGTAGCTACTTCTAGGAAGGTAAAAATAAGTTACTTCTCTCAGGAAAAAAATTCTTTTCAATGGTTAAAATGTAATAATATTGAAGAGTCAG